AAGTAGTTTTAAAAATGTTTATTTTCAGGTACACTTTGACAAATCTGATTTATTAGTAGTGGGTCGCCGGAAAGAAATAAAAAAAGGTGCAATACCATCACGGTTTTGTCAATGTCCCTCTGTGGATTTTTGTGACAAATCGCAAACTAAGCAAAGCAAGCGAAAGAAAAAAGGAACTCATGTGCGTAATGTTAAAAAAAAATTGGATTCAGAGAATTTAAATCAACAATATATAGAACATTCTTATAGCAAATTGTAATCTAAGACACAGAAAAGAGAAAAAACTCTTGTGCATAATATTAAAACAAGACTTGATAATCACATTTGTCAAGCAGGTAATACAACCGAGCATCCCTGTACCTCTATAAGAAATGTAGCTTGTCCAATAATCAATCATACAATAGAAAATACTGCACAGTTTTCCAAGAAGCAAGTGCGTATGATAAATCATTACTATAATTGTCCATTTACTACACTTACGTTATCAATTAATGAAATTGAAAAAAGATGTTCTATAGAGAAAAATGACATGTCAAATTCTGAAAACATCTATTTGTCTTCAGATCCTACAGGGCACAAAGACGTCTAAAAGACGATTAAAACTGGACATATTTTCGTCAAAGACGTCTTTTAGTTAGAGACAATAGTCGACGAAAAGTTGACTAAAAGTCGGCTCATGAATTTAGTCACTAATCTGTCAAGCCAAAAAATGACTAAAAGATGATTAAAAGACGATTAAATCATATCATAATTTTTAAACGAAACATATATATTTCAATCCCTAAATAATAATATAATTTATCTATTTCATATAAAATTTTACATAAAAATTTTGTATAAAAATTTTATTTATAATTTATACTTGCATATTGCACTTTACATCTTAAATAGGTAATGAAAAATTATTTTCGTTTATTCACCGGACATTTACTTGTCCGACTTATAAAATCAATTTAATATCTGAAACCCGTGCTTTAGATCAGAAATTAAATTGGACAATACATTTTTAATCTTATTTGTTATCTTTTGCAAATTTTATATAATTCTCATAACTGAAACTTAAATGCGAGAAAGATAGCGCATCGCATGTCGCGTAGCGGTAAACGAACGAACTAATACATGCTTGCATGCTTGCGAGAAACTTTGACCTCCAAGACCGGACATCCAAATTGTGGACGTCCAAATATTGACCATTAACGGATGTCTTAAATCGGATATATAGACGTTTATTTTATGTCTATGGACGTACGGACGTAAACTGGACATAAAATGCATGTCCATAGAATGTCCTGTGTTGTCTGGGTTTGGACGTACAAATTCTAGACTTTAAAAGGTCGACGAAAGGACGTCTTATTTTAGTCGTCTTTTCGACATGACGAAAAGACATCTATAAGACGTCTTTTTCGCCATGTCCAAAAGTCGACTTAGAAAAGACATCTTTTCGTCGTCTTTTAGTATTTTGTGCCCTGTGGGATGTTTCTTCTATTAAAAGAACTGTGCGAAAACTTAAAAAAGAAAATGAAATGTTAAGGAATGTTAGAAATGTTATGGAACTAATTCTGCAGAATAAGTTTAAATTTTATTGAATTTAAATCATATTTTTTATAATAGTTGTAAAATATTTTTATATAATAAAATGTCAAATTTTTGTAAGCTATTATTAATCGTTTAATGTGTGTAAGATACTATATTAATAAAGGATAATAAAAATAAACTTTATCAGAATATATTTATATTTATTTTATTACTATATCACATATTATATTATCATATAAATACTATATTATATATGTAACATACCTTACTATATATCACAAACAAATTATTACATATTATATCACAAAAAATAACATAATTAAAGATGCTCATTTATTATTACAGTACGTAAACAATATGATTTTAAAAAAAATTAAACTTTAAAAGAATATTAACAAACGATGTTAACTCTTTGGCATTCATATTTGGTACAATATTTCATTGCAATATATGTAAATATATATATATATATATATATATATATATATATATATGTATGTATCAGAAAGTATCAAAAATCTATGAAACCTCTAATCAAAACAAAAGATAAAAGTAATATATAAAAAGTAATAATGAAAAAACATAAATATTAAGCAATTTAATCCAATCATTAAAAGTAAAGGCATGAGAAAAAATAATTAAGTTTTCTTAATAATTTTTTTGCTAATACTTGGATTAAAATTGTCTGCCAATAATCTGGATCCCATGCTTTTACTTCCAAAAGCAGATGACTTACTTTGATCTGAGCGAATAAGACTTAAATTTGCAGATAATTGGTTTAATCTCATTCTTATACATTTTTTAAATAGCTGTGGCCGAATATCATGACAAGTAGAAAGACTGAGATGTGATAAAACTGTGTGTATATGATTCTGGATTTGCAATTTAATGGATGATTTTATATTTTTCAACTGAGGTTTTATAGCTTGTAAAATAACTTCAACACTTTTAAACAATTGAAATATTTCATCTGATACTTTTACCAAAGCATCATTTACTAATTCTGACGCTAAAGTGAAGCCCGCTCTTGGATGCGGAACATCTTCTGAATGAAGAAGTTTTAAGTAGCAATCGACACATTTTATATGCTTCAATTTGTAGACCACGTGTCTACATATCTTATACAAAATTTCTTCTTTTTCTATACTTATTTCTTTACAATTATTTAAATGTGGAAATATTATATTTGACTCGATGAAAGACGGATTTGTACTTTCTTCTTTTTTTATAAATGAATGTATAAGATTCAAAGAGTCATCGAAATTATAACTGGTACTATCAATAAATCAGATTGGTCAAAGTGTACCTGAAAATAAACATTTTTAAAACTACTTTTATTTGAATAATCTTGTATAATATTCTTATGATGTATGCTTACTTCACACAATCTAAAATTTTCCAAAGAACGTTTTAACGCTTTCTTGCCAAAAACAGCATTTAACTATGTTTTTTGATGCTGCTCTTCTTTTGGAAACCGCACCAACGCATATCTTTCATCAGATTTATTAAAGCACCTCGGTGCGCAGCAAGTATACGGCATTGCAAATTGTAAAATTCAAATCTATGATAAGAATATTATTGATGAAAAAAAGTATCTCTCTAACTTACCTATTTTTTATACCTTATTTATTTAATTATAGAGCGTCTTTACATTTTATTAATTCAAAATTTTTTTATAATCTTACTTGTAATCTTTCTATAATCCTACTTAGATGTGATAATTAACTTACGCGAGAGAGGAGCCACGGAACGAATCGTTGTCGTGCAGTGTACATACATGAACACTCGTAAATAGATTATACTTGGTTATACTATATGTCTTGGTATGACTCATGGACGTAAGAAATACAGGACAGAGCATAAAGTACTCTTTTAGACGAAGGGTGTGAAGCCTGAGGGGTAAAAGGGATTTATTGTCGGGGCCATCTTAGATGCATCAGATTTAGCTTCTAATTTCACGTCGCACGGACGTAAATCGAATAAAATATGAGAGATTCCGTGAAATCATCTATCATCTGAAATCGCTGTGTTATTCCGAATCATTTCTGAATATTAAGAAATTCAAAAATATCACACTCCGTGAAATTAATATCCGTCGCCATCTTACATGCCTCATATTCACAGACTTAGGAAACTATAGACGGAGCGTAAGTCTGCGGGATAGGTAATAAACGCGGTAAGGGGAAATAACAGGTAATTTCAGCTATTTCCGTACGATTCGGATATGTTCGACGTTATGAGAAGGATGTATGTATCTCAACCAGTGGCTTTCTAATTTGATGATATGTATAAAAATTTTTTAAGAAATTAATTATAAAATACATACTTTAATGTACAAATAACATGATAAGAAAACTAGCGTCTACGAGCCACAGTGGATGGTAATGCCTAAAAATTCTTTTTAATTGTACGCGAAATTTAAATGAAAACACGGCATATGCATATATTTTACTTGGTGCATTAATGTACAAAAAAATTACAGGACTTGTTTTTTATTATGTTATAAAGTGAAATAGGAATAATTTGAAAACTTTAAAAGTTTAGAATCAGAACATTATATACTTACACGATATTACAATAAGAGGAAATTGAGAACCTATGATAAATGTTCGCACTAGTATTATTAATATTTCTACATTAAAATAGTTTATATTTTATGCTTTTTAGAATAATATTTAGAGAAAGGTATAATATATATAATAAAATGAACTAAAAAATGTTAATTATAGTAACGCAAATGCAATGAAAGGAATTAGGAAAATATATATAATTTCTTGCAAAAACATGTTTTATTCTCCTTTAAATAATATAAGTTTATTATATTTGTGTCTTTCGCTTAAACGCTTTGTTTTAACATGTGACAGTTTTGTTTTCGAATATAACATAATCGTACCACGTAATAAATTATTTCCGGTACAGTACGAGTACGCAAGAATACTCTTCAGATAACTATACAGAAAATAGTAGATTAAAATAGATCGATATGTGAATACATCATTAAGTAGAGATAAGTTTATTCGCATATATATGTATATATAATATAGCCATACAGCACACATGTTCAGAATATATCTAAAGGATATACAGAAGATCTTGTTAAAAACAAACTCGGGATATCCTCTGGATCCTCGAGATATCTTATGGATATGCTGTGCTATCTGAGTATATATATATATATATATATATATATATATATATATATAATTTTTTTCAATTATTTACAAATGGAACAGCATTTGCTTCAAGTCTTCGACGCATATTATTTGTTTCATAATCCGTTTCCTTAAAATGGGCAGAACATATAGCACCCCATCGTTTTAAGTTCGAGCTTGAAATGCTACGCAGCTATTTGATTGGTTGAATGAGGTATTAAGTCAACCTCGAAGCAGACTTAAGACAATCTTAAATATAAGATCGGACTATGAATACCAGCTTTTAGTTTCCTAAGTCTATGCTCATATTCCGTTGCAGTAGACATTTCTTTCTCCTCACCCTTTGAGCTTCACCCCCGCAGCAATACACTCTGTCCAGTATCTCTTATGTCCATGAGAGCAACTAATAAAATTTTGCTTTGACGGATTCGAAGCGAAAATAGTATTAAATAGAACGAATTAAGGATCTGTTCTTTTCAGCTGCACTGCTACACTAGTGGAATAAGTTAGAAAGAGACAAACATACTTTCTTTAACTCTAACTAATTGCACTAGTACAGTAGTGCAGCTGAAAAGAACAAACTCTAATTCAACGTTCATACCATTTCTAACCTAAAAATGACAGCCACGAGTGTGGAGTGTGGCGATTTTTTAGAATTTCAGGTATTTCTTCGAAAGTAAAGTTTAAGTAATATTCACGTACTCCTACACTGCATTATACAAATATAACAAACAAATATATATTTGATAGTATTCAAATTATTAAAAAATAATATTAAAGATTTTTATATACTTAATGTCAAGGCTAATACCTTATATATTTATTATACATTATATGAAAGAAATATGTAATGTGTATAATATGAAAAGGTAATTTTGATTTAATAATAAAATCTTGTGTGTGTATATGTACACATAGGACTTTTTCTGAGGTTAAAAAAATAAATAATTGTAACTGCAGATGTACATGAAAACATGCAAAAATGTATGTAAACATATAATGCAAATATATATATATATATATATATATATATATATATATATGTGTGTGTGTGTGTGTGTATGTGTGTGGGTAAGATATATATATAAAATTAAACTCAAATATAAAAGATACACATACACACATATATAAAATACATTTTTACATCATTTTAAAATACATAATATAAAAATATAAACTTCATTATTTAAATATGAATATAAAAATCATATTGTATTTCAGGATACATTAAAAAAAATGCGATTGTTAGATGACAAAATAATTTACACATTGAACACTGCAATTCCTACTGAATCCTTCAAAGGTCAAGTGGATTCTATTGAGCAATGTAAAGATTTATTCCAACAAATAAAATCCATACATTTACAAAGAGAACAAGCAATTACAAAGTGTTTGAATGTTACTAAAGGAAGAGTAATGCAATTAAAAAATTTGAGAGACAATGGTGATGAAAGACCAACATTAATAAAAAATTTGAGAAATGAACAAACTACATTGAGACTATTACAAGCTGAGCTTAATATAGAAGAAGTTCTAAAAAGACGTACAGTACAAGTTTATTATGAAAGATGCCGTGGATTTTATAAACCATCACATGTCAACACAGAAGTAATAAATAAATAAAATTGATAGTATATTGATATATGGTTATGTAATATAATATTTCAATTGTTACAATATAATTATATAATTAATTTGTTTATGTTCAGAATCATTGTTATTTTGTAATGAAGATATACAATATATATCAATTTTTTTATAAGCAAGAATTCTCTACTGTATCATTTATAAGAATAAATAAAAATATCTACATGTAAATCATATAATGAAGAGATTGTATATTCATTGTTATCCATTTTGTATATAACTAATTTACATACTCATTTAAGAGAATCAAGTATTCATAATATATACAAGATGACAACTAGGAAATAGCTAGAACTTTTTTATATTTGCTCTATATCATTTTAAACATATATTATCAGTTTTATGAATTAAAGTATCAATTTTATTCTAACAATCATCAAAATCATTGTATATTATCAGTCATGTGTGTACTGTCCAAAGACTTTTATATATTATACCTAGCAGTTATTGAAAGATAGCCATTTACACTTGGATAAAATATATAGGTTGAATTAATATACTAACTTACTATACTAACTATATTTTAACATAAAATGTTATTTAATTTGTTGGCAATTGCTAAAATATAAGTTATTTTTGTATATAGGTATTGATTGATATTCTGTTCATTAATGCAGTAATTAAATTTTATTCAATTGCAAATGATTGATTCTAGCTTCACTGTTAGTAGTTTAGTATAATATATAGAAGTTCTGTAGTGCTATTACAGTGCAGAAAAAGGTTTGTCTTTATTTTAATCAAATGCTATTATATTAAAGATAAATCATATACAAATGTATCATAATTTTCATAGTAAATATAAAACAAAACGAATTTTATTCAAAAACACTTTTAAGAGATGAGTTTCAACTTTTTTATATTTATGATAATTAGAAAGTTGTTGGAATTACTTGGTTGTTAAAGAGATAAAAGAGATTAGAGAGATAAGTAGATCAAAATTAAAAATCAAATTGTTTTAAATATAAAGAAATTGTCATTTAACATACTATATGAAAATAATTTATAAAAAAATTTAATAACCAAATTTTACATTCTCAAAAAATAAAGATCAATTGTAGACAAAATTTAATTAACAAATTTCAAATTACTTTATATAATTTTTGTATTATATATTAGCAAAATTCACAGATGTACTCAAAATAGTTTGATTTAGAAATTTTTAGCTATTTGTTCCCAAATAACATCCAAGGTTCAGCAACTTCCTAATTTTGTCACCTATAAACCAAAATATTCTGTAGATAAATATATATAATTTTACAACAGATGCGCATATATATGCGTGTGCACATGTATAATGATGTAATGTAGCTTATTTTATTTCATTGAAAAGAAATACCACGTTTTAGAACATCTATTATTTATTACAAATGTAAATAATTAAATATTTATAAAAAAATCGAAGACCATTAGAAAATGAACTTTCAATAGTTTGCAAAATAAGACAAAAAACAAGAAAAACATTTCATTCGTTCTTTGGTATATTGCCCCTCCTGTTAGGATCAAAATTAGAATTAAATATTCCGGCATCAACTGGTAGTAAAATAAAAGTATATTAATAGAGTATCATAAATTAGGGAAGAAGAAAGAATAAGGATAACGAAGATGGAGTGGCTATATCATGTATAATTTCAAGTATATTTTATCAGAATCCGAATTCGGGATTTTTCACACGGCAGGTAATCACTCTGCTATCTCAGAGCGGCATCTATCTACGTGAAAAACATATCATTTTAAAAATTACATATATATATACTACTTTTCGTCATAATTGCTTTTTGAATTGAAGCACTAGTTGTAACAAACTTTACATTTTATTTTTATGCTTTCATCAAAGTACAATGCTACATTATGATGTGCTTTAATTTGATAATGATTTAATGACGATTATGTTAAAAAGTAATACATATAAGTAACTTTTGTATATGATAAAATGTTTTTCTTATTTTTCATTTTGCAAACTTGCTAGAGGTTAATAATCCAAATAAATCTGGTTTGTGAAAAACATTTTAAAATAATGATAAATAACAATAAAATTGTAATAACAGTCGAATAATACGATTTATTATATTTGTATCTTTCAAAAAAATTTACTTCATGTATATACATACATATATACAGGGTGTTTTATAAGTAATGGGCAAAATTTCAGGAATGGATTCCTCATGCTTAGAGATGAAAAAAAAAGTTAATCAATATAGGTCCGGAAATGATTAATTTTTGAGTTATTAAGATTTTTGTAATACAAAATTTTGTCTTATTTCTCGTCTTAGAAGTTCTTTTATAGGCATCAACAATGTTGCCGAACTTGAAAAACATTGTTGAGGCCTGTAAAAGGATTTCTAAGATGAGAAATGAGACAAAATTTTGTATTACAAAAATCTTAATAACTCAAAAACTAATCATTTCCGGACCTATGTTGATTAACTTTTTTTTCTTCTTTAAGCAAGAGGAATCCATTCCTGAAATTTTGCCCACTACTTATGAAACACTCTGTATGTATACACACACACACACCATTTCTAATTTATATTCTCTACATTTTTCTACATTTACATATTTATTTATTTTTCTCCTGCGCTAATATTTCCTTAAGCCAATCCTCTCTTTGTTTACCTAAAGTTTCTCCTCTTGCAGCTTGTTTTTTTCCAAGTATTACAGCACATATACAACCAATTAAAGTAGCAATAATCATATAATTACAGGTCTTAATTCGTGCTTTACTCCTTGCAGTAAGTAAACAATCCACTCTGTTTAAAAAAATATCTATCAAATGATAATTATATAAAAAGTTTAATTAATAAATATTAATAAAATATAAATTATAAATAATATATTAATAAATATAATATAAATTATGAATACGTTTTTTAACAAACTAACAATTTTTGATAGAAATCATTTATTAAATTTCTTATAAATTGGTAATTATCAATATTAAAATCTCTGCTAAAAAGAAACAATTAATTTTAAACTTATTTAAATTTATATTTTATGTTATTAAGTAATTTTAATCAAATTTATATTTTTCAAAAATGTTTGTATTTTTATTAAACAAATACAAATAATAAAGAAATGTAAATGTAATACATACGTAACATCTTCAGGAACATCTGCAATACTTGGATATCGTTTCACCCAAACTAGTACTCTCTTATCAAAATTAGTCACACGATGCATACGTGATCCTAAAATATAAATATTATGGAAATATATGGTAAGTGTAATATATATGATGTAATATATGATATATATAAAAAACTATATTATTACATTGTTATTAATATACTATTAATAAAATAATTTCTCTTAATAACTTTAATCAATAGCTATTTATTCTATAAAGTATTTATTTTAAAACTTAATTCTCTATTGATAAATGCTAAATCATTCATGACTCATATCTTAATAATGTTTTATAAAATTCTTATAATAATTGAAACAAATACATCGTAATAAAATATACATTGTAATATACATTGTAATAAAATATACATCGTAATATACATTGTAAAAAAATATCAATAATTTTGTTTAAAAAATATTTTTTTTAATCATTTACAAATAATATTTTAAGAATATTATATGTGTGTGTGTATGTGTGTATATATATATATATATATATATATATATATATATACAGGATGACCCATTTTAAAAGTTCCACCCTCATAATTTTTTTAATTTTGATTGTAGAAAAAAATGTTTCAGATAAAAGTTGTATGGCTTGAAGGGGGACATAAGATGATGTCATTAGTTCGACATTGAAGAGTCACCTGAAGGTCACATGAAGGTCACATCCAACTTTTTAAACGGGACATCCTATATGTTTTTGCATATTCTTATAGTTCATCTTGAGAGCTTTCCAAAACACTATAATTAAGTTCGTTTTCATTAAGTACTTTCCGAGTTATGAGGTTTAAAATCATTTCTTAATTTTACATAAACCATAAAATATCTAGTAAAATATTCATTTTTCGATTATCCTACCTTAATACTTTTATGTACAAAATGATGAGAGGAATCAATTGGTGTAAAGAAAATACACAATTGTTTCGAAGAAAAAATATGTAATTTACAATTAACAATTTTATATTTTTTCTTTGAAATAATTATGTGTTTTCTTTACACCAATTGATTCTTCTCATTATTTTATACAGAAAAGTACTAAGGTAGGATAATCGAAAAATGATTATTTTACTACATATTTTACGGTTTATGTAAAATTAAGAAATGATTTCAAGCCTTATAACTTGGAAAGTACTTAATGAAAACTAACTTATATTATAGTGTTTCGGAAAGCTCTCGAGATGAATTACAAGAATATGCAAAAACATATAGGGTGTCTCGTTTAAAAAGTTCGTGACCTTTACGTGATCTTCAGGTCACTCTTCAATGTCAAACTAATGACACCATCTTATATCCCCCTTCAAACCATACAACTTTTGTCTGAAACATTTTTTTCTACAATCAAAATTAAAAAAGTTATGAGGGTGGAACTTTTAAAATGAGACACCCTGTATATATATATATATATATATATATATATATATATATATATGTATGTATACAGGGTGGGGAAAAAGTATGGAAGCAAACAATTATTTCCGAAACTATTCATTTTTCGACAAAATGTCTTAGACATAATTTTTATGAAAAGATGTATTATGTGGCATAGACGGCATGACCTTGAAATGACCCTTACGAGCTGCATACAAATAACATAAAAACTTTCAAATGGAACTCGTCAGTTTTTGTTATAGATTCTTGTAGCTGATGTCGAAACGTTTACAAAACACTGCATATGAGCCCCATTCCCTTAAAAACACTCCCAGTTACGAAACAATTGTGATACAAACAATTTGTATGCACATTGACATTGCTTACTGATTTCGCATCATGACGTTCAGTTGCGTCCACTAATAACATGTAATTGTACCTGTTGTCATATGATACACTGTCTATGAGTATTCATAGAATTTTTTTGACTTTTTTAAGGATAAAATAAATGATAATAATAAATAAGATAGCGATGGTCAAGAAATCAAATTATATATATATTATATATATATATATATATATATATATATATATATATATAATTATATATATATATATATATATATATATATATGTGTGTGTGTGTGTGTGTGTGTGTGTGTGTGTGTAACTAAAGTCTATTATAAAATTTTAATTTGAGATACATATTAAAGAAATTTTACTATGAATGACAAAATTGAATCCATTTCGTATGCAGTTGTCTGTTGATAAAGAATTAATTCAGGAAAATGAATTTTTAAACTGTTTACCCAAAACATTATTAGTTTTTTTGACATTTTCAGTGTTCCTTTGTGCAGCAATTTTGTCCATTTTAGTTTCTTGTGTAATACTGCTACAAGTAAACCATCGCGCTGTAGCATGCGACTTGATGCTATTAGCAATTTGTTTCAACAACATTCTGTGAAAAAATATATTATTAAAAGAATAAAATAAGATATATTTAAAAATTTAATCCTAATTGCTATATAATTATCACATATTTTCAGAACATCTAATAAACATAAGACTTTTTATTACAAAACTTATTATACCAAGTCAAACAGATTAAATTATAGAAACATAACGTATGAAGTGAAAAAAGTTTGAGCAAGTTTAACTTTTTGAAATAAGTTTTTTGTTCTTACATATATTTTTTAGCACTTTTTACTTGGATGAAGAAAAAATATAGAGCTTCTTAAATTTTAAATATTAGATTTGTAAATGTACTAAAAAAACTAAATAATTTCTGTAAGATTAGTATTTTCTACTTTCATAAAATTTTTATCTTTTATTATTAAAAATTACATTAAAGAGTTGTATTTTATATTCAATATTTTGTTCACATTTCGAAGAAATGTAATTAAATTTAGATAAGAAATTATAACAAATATAGATATATATTTATATTTTCAAATATAATTCACTTGGCTTCTTAATTGTTTACAATATAAAAGCAAAATTATCAAAAGAGATCTTTTTTAAAGAAATTTTCTGCGTTCTAACAAAATTTTATACCAATTTCTTCACTTTTCCAGGTACAAAGAAATCCCTTAGAATTCCAGACTTTTCATGTTTTTACAGAGAGTGTATATATATTATAATAGTATAGTGGCATTGTAAATCTGATGATGTGTTATGCAGTATTATGTATGTATATATTTATTATTCTATTGATATGATTCTTAAAGAAGAGATATATTTTATATGTATTTTAATATATATGTCTATATATATAGACATTCTATTATATACATTAAAATATAACCTATTAAAATACGTATAAAACATGTATCCTCTTTAAGAACCACATCAATAGAATAATAAATATATATATAAATATATATATATATATATATATATATATATATATATATATATATACATAATACTGCATAACACATAGATTTACAATGTCACTATTATAATTACTTACTATTATACTATTATAATTATTATCACAATTATAACTATTATAACTATTATAATTATTAATATCACAAAATTATATTTTTCAAACTAAGCGGACATGATTATTTAAAATTAAGTTCAGAATTATCATATATCAATTATTCCATTTTTTGTCATATTTTTAATTACGTATTAAAAAAAATATTTATAAAATTATGATGCATCTGATCGTATCTTTCGACAACTGATTTTACTCTATCCTATATATATGAATTGTATGCAAGTCACATTTATTTATAATTTAATTTTAATTAAATCATAATTTTATATTTTTGACAATATTTATGTCACATTATTATGAAATTTTTTAATGTAATGTAACATATAATACTATGTACACACTTTTTATTATTCTCACAGATAGTTTATAATAAATAAATCAGTCGCAATTTTGTCTTATATATAAGATTAGTTCTTTTTAGCTGAATTGGCTGAACTAGTTCAGAAAGTGTACACTGAAGGTTTGTTTACAGAGAAGACACAAGGTTTGTTCGCGTCGCATGCTCCGATGTACTCCAGAGAGCACTTGGATCACACGTAAGATGGCGGTTAGAGCAGAGTTCATGTAAAGTCACTAGATTAACAAAATACTGCAATTTTGATCTTGTGACGTCCCGCCATTTTAAAAATTACTAGATTTAGTTACTATTCGCTTATCCATCTTGCTTCTTTATTATAACCACGGAGTAAGAACGAATATTCGATTTTATTAATTATAATCCGAATTTATTCATTATTATTATAGATTTTAATTTTAATATATGAATTATAACATTCAACACTTGCTTACCGTTCCTATTATACACGGTTATTTAACCTGCTAATTAACTATGTACCCCTTAATCAATACATAAGAACCTTTTATGATAAATTTAAATATTAGATTTAAATAAATGCGACCAAAATAGATAATTACGTAAATAAGGTATTTCAAGGAAATTATTGGATTAATTTTAAATGAATAACTACCAAACCATTTCAACTCTTTGAAATGCTTTATTTAAACTCATTATTAATTCACAACCAGTGTAAATAATTTCCTTTATATGCTGTAACTTAAATTTGATTATTTTATCTAAATTGAATTATATTTCTAAATCTTTTCTAAAATATAAGGAAAGTTATACATATAACGATTCTATAATCTCAATACCATTGCGTTAGACATTAGTATTAAAATTAAGAACGAATAACTTTTGCGCGAGGTAATCAAAGAGGAAGTCATAAATATGTCAAACATCGACTTTTCGGAGACGTCAACCGACACCTCCGATGAAATTCACGCGTTACCCTTTGATCACCGCCGCGTTTCGATGAAAAGATATCTATGTCTAAACAATTGATAAGAAATTCGGTGGTGCTTCCGAGAACGACGTGGTCCGATGAAGAGATCACCTTACTCGAGAATTCCTTTAGCAAAAGATCATGCAAGTAACAAAGGAATTACCAGTATATAAACCCCGGATTTCGGGCGCGAAACACAGTAGTAATAATAACCATTCAGTAGAAAGAACTTGCTACCAGTCGTTTTGTCAAGTGTCGCTATTATTCGTATATCCTAACTATTAATAATAATTAAGTTAACTTTTGTCAATTTGCTATTCCTCTCGGTGGACTTCGAATAAAGAGCTATAATTGTGCATATCTACCGTGTCCATTTTTTTTTGGAAAGACCCAGACCTCCCGTATACGAAGGCGACTAGAATCAACAGAATTTCATCTCGGAGTGGTAAGTACCAGATTCTTTTATATACTTTATTTTAATCTCTCGTTTTCAAACTCAATTGTTCGTTCACCTTCCTTGCATTCATTATTATACCTCCTGAAACAAGAAATAGAAGATTAAATAAATAAATAATAATACTGTCAAGCACCGGCATGCTGCTGATAGTATTCCTTTCCTAATCAGTATAAAATCGCAATACCTTATCATTTTATTCTGGCAAGCGTCAAGATAATCATTAATTAAAATTATATAGCTCTCATCCGTTAAGCATCGAGTGCCTCCTTCCATTAAGATCTCTCCAGGCATCCTCTGTCATGCCGGAGACTTCTGCATTCTCCTGTTTTTACTCCAAAAGGATTCATTATTAGTTTGGCCGACCCCAGATTTCCATCGTTTCCGGGCATCCTCTGTTATGCCGGAGACATCCTAATTTCCTAAATTGATTCGTTAACCGGCGCTTCACGGAATATATAAACGAAATTTGAAATTTACTGCATTCAACTCAAACGTCTTTCCTCATACAGGGAAATAGCATCTTCTCGGTGCCGCCTGAAAACCTTCTTGTTCTTTCTCCCTTATTCTGTCGCTTCCGGGCATCCTCTGTCATGCCGGATGCATCTTAATTTCCTTACTCTTATGCAACTCCGTCATCCTAACGTTACTCCACCTTAAGAGTCCCGTCGTCTCCGGGCATCCTCTGTCATGCCGGAGACATCCATATCCTTGTAAGTTATTGACGTTTTAGTTGAACTAAATAAAAAGAAATATATCTTTTTCTTTATTGCAAAATTCAATCACTTGAGCTGACGCTAATCAGATAACAACATCAGCAAAAGTGAATATCCACTAATTTCCTCAACCAATGGTGAACTCACAACTAAACTCTAAAAGAAACGGCACAGAGCGAGTAAAATAACCAGAGAGTATCGCGATATCTCTCGATTCCGTCGATATCAAAGAATAAAGGCAAACTCAAATCCTAGTTACGTAAAATCAGATAGAAGGGTCTTCTTCCCTGAAAGTTTTATATCTGCTCTAAAAAACAAAGCTAAATTTCTCTTTTATTTACCTCTAAATTTTATATCACAGAAATATTGTCAATCTATTACTACAAACATAGAGTTTGACTCTTTCTACAACTATTACCTAGAGATCATCAAATATAAGGATATCACTGAAAGCCCATCCTCCGAACAAGGAGATCTAATAAATCAATTAAAATATCAGCTACCGGAAAGCCAGTACGAAATAGAGAATTACTTACAGACTCTCCAATGAAGCCTTCTTGTAATGATAAAGATTTTTTCACACTAACAACCGACGAACAAACTCAAATCCTCGAAATCTTATTAGAGTTTATAGCTCAATATATCTCGGGTGATATTGATATCGACCAATTAATGGATTTGATAGAGAATCTTGAAATTCCATTCTAATAGATATTTATTATACACGTATATAATCTCATCTTACTCAATCAATTTATCTCATCTTAAAGTTTCGCGGCTTCTACAATTTTTTCCGTTATCGATAAGTCAGATCCTCGCTCTCGGTATCCCCAAGGTATAGCCGGTGTAAGCAGGTTGTCTTGAAAATAAAGAGAGCGCACTTTACTCTAGAACCGAGGTACCTAGAGGAAAAGTAAGTCACTGAGACGTGACACAACAATCGCAGCCTATATCTACACTATCGGACGCCATTTTTGCTCCAGCTTATCTTAATGAGATCAAAATTGCGGTACTTTGATAATCTAGTGACTTTAAGTTCATGTACACCAACGGTTGCTGACACGAACGGAGGCACTTTCCCTTCTTTTTTTGCTTCCAACCAATCACACATTACTGACAACATCTTGATGCTTTTACTGATTTCAATATTATAATTAATATTATAATTGATAATATTAATGATGAATTTGTAGAACAAAATCTATTACTTTTGGCTATTAATAATTTTGAAAACGATGACGAAATAGAAAGTGAGTATTAAGAAGATATACCGTTCTAATATTGTGTTAATAGTTTCTAAAGATTGGTTTTATTTTAAATTCACCTTTTTTTTAGTTGTTGTGCATTTTTATTGAATTTTATATAATTTATATTTGCAGATATTGCTGTTAATGCAATTACTGAAATGAAGGTTTCATCCGACGACCTAGAACATGCATAACCGACTATGTTGAACATACATACAGTGCCAATATATACAGATAGAGAATTTGTTATTCATTTTCGTTTAAAGAATTTATCCATCAATTCATATTTTATATATTAAGCATGCGCGCACATTTGCCCCAACTGCACTACCATCGAAGGTCAGGCACATGGAGCATGCTCCTAATTGCTCCTTAAGGTTTGTTCGTGTCGCATGCTCCAATGTACTCCAGAACATTTGGATCACAAGTAAGATGGCGGTTAGAGCAGATGAGTTCATGTGCACCAACGTTTGGTGACACGAATGGACTTGAGGCACTTTCCCTTCTTTTTTTGCTTCCAACCAATCGCACATTACTGACAATCTCTTGATGCTTTTATTGATTTCAATATTATAATTAATAATATTATAATTGATAATATTAATGAAGAATTTGTAGAACAAAATCTATTACCCTTGGCTATTAATAATTTTGAAAATGAAAACGATGACGAAATAGAAAGTATTAAGATGTAGCGTTCTAATCTTGTGTTAATATACCCAGTAAGCAAAATGTTAGCAGTCTGCCAGCAGCATGCGAGCAGATTCAAACAGAATATTGCGGCAAATTGGCATCAACTGCGTCTGCATTAAGCTTGGGTTCTGCTAGCAGAATCTGTCAACATAAACCGACAGCAGATTGACAGCAGAAATCGAGCAGGATCTGCGCGTGCAATTTGATGTTAGATTGTCAGCAGAAACCGAGCAGAATCTGCGCATGCAACCTGATGGCAAATTGACAGCAGAAACAGCACAAGATTTGCGCTTACTTTTATTAATGTTATATAAATGCAACAAAATTGATTATTACAAGTGCTAAATAACAATATTATCGGCAAGTTAATTAGAATTTTCTTAGAAAATAACATATATGTAATATGTTATATCGTAGTTATATCTCATATAGCGAAGGACTAATTCAATTTAATTAAATTAATAATAAAGTAAATGATGAAAGTAAACGTAACTTGTAACGATGCACCCCGTGCACCCCCTAAGCCCTAATCGTTATTCCCGGCATGCGATCCGCCGGAAGCTGCCGCCCGGCAGAACATCCGCCGGGTAAGAGCAAGGGCGCGGTGCGCCCACATTTTTAAACGTCTAAAAACTCGAACGGCGTTAGGCCATTAAGGCTCCGGAGTACTCACCGTGAAACTCTGAGTTGACGGTGGCGACATAGGTTGAGAGTGCGATAGGAATAAGAACTATATGCAACGACTTACCAGTGATCATATGGTAAGTCGTTCTACAGTTCTTTCATAATAATAGGTGTTTTCCATTTATATCAAAACTCAGATAAATCTCACTTCTGTCTTTCTTTAACATTAATGTTGAAGAAAAACAGAAGTGATATTTATTTGAGTTTTGATGTAAAAGGAAAGCACCTAATGACAGAGAAATGATGATAATATTTTTTAATATTTTAATATTTTTTAATATTTTTATTATTTATGCAATTAAAAATAATCCGATTTATGTCGTGTTTGGTGTTATTTTAATCGTAAAAATCTCATTACTCCATTACAATTATTTTCGGATCAATAAAATGCGAAATGTAAAAATTGTATTTTCTGCGGAAAGATGAAATATAATACGAAAGACTGGAG